GAGAGGCCGCAGCAGGCCTGCCAGCTGGCGAGGCCTCGGACAGGCCTTTGGAAGTGCTTGGAAGGGTTCTGCTAGGCTTGGCCAACTGCTTCACCCTGCGGTGTCCCAGGCGCCTCCCCGCCTAGGCTTTGGCTATAGGCCGGGGTCGGCGGATTTTAGTATACTGTGCCTCAAAAGCAAAAACCAGTCCATAATGCTTCGCAACCTGGAGCAGCCTCTTCTTTCCAACTACAGACTTGTTGGCCTTTCAAACAAAGCAACAAAATCAAGCCAGAAATTTCTCTTAGGTTGGCCAGATTGGAGGCCATCGCTAGTAGGTTGGAGGCCATTGCTACTACTAACTCAAAATAATGCTTGTGAAACGAGAGACACGCTCATGAGCCCTGATCCGACTGTCGCCTCCGCCGCCGTTTAACCTTCACTGGCCACAGGGCCCTTGAGTCCGCTTCGAGCGAAAGTCCGTTTTGCCTGCGCCATTCCGCAGTTCTTCAGTGGTAGCGGAGCCAGGGTGACGATCCTGGCTCCGGTTGACTCCTTCCAGCCGGGGGACGCCCCGGCACCTGTGAAGGCTTCTTTGACCTCTTTGTGAAGGCCCTCTTCACCTTCGGCTACAAGTTTGCCTGTGGACGAGTCAACCGGACTCAGGATTTCTTCCTTTCTTCAGGTATACGACCTCATCACCTTCAAGGTGATCTTCTTCTTGGCCTACCTCCCTTGGTAGAAGTTTGGGCTGCCAATGGCCCAGCCGCGACCGCCGCGGACCTGGACAGGCCAGACTACATCGTCGACACCTCCGGCTACCTCCTCAGCGAGCGGCTGCTGCGGCTCCTGCGCGGGCGACTACGCCAGACGCTGGTCATGAACATGAACGACCTTCTGAAGGCCTTCCGCTACATGATGTTGGACTACCTGACCTACCTGAGCTGCCTGATCCTTTCGCGGATGAGGATCCATGGAAGAGGACTTCAAGAAGAAGTAGCCCAAAGGCAACTGGCATGGCTAAGGCGGCAAGTGAAAAAGCTCAGCCCTCAGAACGTCGTCATGTCGACTATCGCATGGACCCTGCACCTGTTTGGGGAGGAGAGCTTCCTGAGAAAAACTACAAAGACTACCATCACGAGCTTCGTTTGTGGATGGTTGAAGCCGAAGCCAGGATTCCCGCCAACCTCATTGGCAAGCGCATCGACTCCGTGCCGCCCGGCTCAAAGCGCAGCGCATTGCTCGGCCACCAAACGGTGGATGAGATCTGTGCGGATGATGGTCACCGCACGATCGTGAAGATCATCGAAGAAGCTCTCGAATACCTTCGAGATCAAAGCCTTGAGCAGGCCTTCGATGATGCCATCTTCAAAGGACGTCGAGATCGAGGAACCAGCATGACCTCGATCCTGACTGGAAAGAAAGCTGCCTTTGCCAAGCTCAAGAAGCGGGCTTGGATTTGCTGGATACGGCAGCCGGCCGTCATTTGCTTGGACATTTGATCCTGAGGCAAGGCTCATTCACTCAGGACAACGGCAGCGCCTCAAAATTGTCGCGAACGGT